CTTAGTAGATTTGCTGTTATATCCATATAGTTTGTCTTATTTTGTTCAATTTTCTGGCGCTAATATTAAATTGGTGCGGCATACGTTGGAAATTTTGTAATTCTAACATATGAAAGTAAAACATGGGCTTTTTACAACATACTTCACAAACTCCAAGTGACTCATAAATCTATAGTACAGAATACTCAACATTAAGCTCAGCAATCGCAAGTTCAGTAAAGAAATAAGAAGAGAACAAAAGTTAAACAAACTTTTGACAAAAGACAAAATGAAATATTGAATGTTGACCAAGAGCAAATAAGATAAGAGAGACCTCAAACCAGATGAACTAATGATATCTAGCGAATGGCTGGTCAAGCAAGGGGCTAAAGGCTTACATCTGGCGATGGAGAGAATAGCTGTTTATGATGATGATAGCGTAGCAAATCATCTTCACTTTGAGAGACTGGTATTGCATCTGCAACAATTTGTTTCAACATATACAAAAGACAACGCCACTGTAGGCGTGCAATTTTAGCTTATATCCTTCAGAATGTTCATCTGAATTTTATGATATATTCTATAGACGGTCGGTTTTCTATACCAAGTTTAACCACAATTTTATTTCTTATACTTTTTTGTATACCTATTGAAAATATGATTTGAGATAAACACAACAAAAATTAGAGTTAAACCAGATTTGCTTTTTTAAAAATTGAATTTTCCGTATTTTTCAAAACTTTTCCAAGGTAAAATGTTTCCTGTTTACGACCTACCGTTATTCGCAGCACATAGAATTTGCTTTTTAAAATAAAATTTAATTTTCACGCAGATTTTCCTAGGAAACCCCACAGTTTTTACATATTTATCTCTTCTTGATTTTATCTTTGAGTACTCTCAAAGGAATAAGGGATAAAATCGTGGCTAAACTTCTTTATTAAATTCTGACATCTCTATTCGAAGTTTGTAAAAAGTACCATATTTTTATAATTTTTTATACAAACCTGAGGCAGAAAAGCAAAACTGTGCTATTAGTCATGTCCAAATCAAATATAAAGAGCTACAAGAACGACGATAATAGTTTGAATAATTTGGTATACAATTTGTAAGCATGAAAAATTTCTATAAAAAGATACTAACAAAACTGAATAAGAGATAATATTAGCAAAAAATGAACAAAAACTTCAAGGCAATTAAAAAATGTGTACATAAATCTATCTAATAACGTACTTTATTTTCCAAAAAGTACAAAAAATCCAACTTTATGGGTGGGATCAATAATTAATATCAATCATGATCAATAATCAATAATAATATGTAAGTAAAAAATAATATCGAAGACAAAAGATTATATAATATAACATAATTATGCAGAAGATTAGGCATTGATAAGAAAAATAATATATTAAATACAAAGGTAAAACAGCTACGAAAATTTGGAAGCAAACCAGAAAAATTTTCTATTTTCGGGTAAAAAAAAATTACAGACAAAAATTATTAAGCAGTCATGAAAGCCTATGAGAGAGTTAAATTGACAATTCAAGATTAAATACACTAAGAAGAAAATTGTATATATTTATAAAAAGGGTAAAAATCGTATAATAATATAGAACAGCTTATCTACTATTTAAAGACTAGTAAATTAGGGTCTAGGACATTTCGGCGTCGCCGTTTCGGCGTGGCCATTTCGGCGTGGCCGTTTGGGCGTAGAGCCGTTTCGGCGTAGGCCGTTTCGGCGTCGGCCATTTCGGCGTCAGAGATTTTATTTTAGTTGACTAAATACCTACATTGGAGTCTATTAGTAAGACATTATTTTGAAAAAAATCTTTTAATATAGTTATTTAAATAGATACATTGGAGTCCATTGATCACAAAATTTTAATATTAATGGTAGATTTGTATATGTGAATTTTATACTTATGTGTGTGTGCTTGTTATTTAGCTCATAGTTAATGTAATATCTGTAATTGGCTTCTAGCTGTAGATATTATATATAAATAAATGAATAAACAAGATTTTGGAAAAATGAATATTTTATTTTAGTTATTATTTACATGTTATAATTAGATATGTGCTAGTCCAATTAAAAATCCTGAAACATTTATATTTACATACAAAACATTTATATTTAACCTACAAAACTTATTCACGAAATATTAATTAAAATAAAGTATTTACATGTTATAATTAGATATGTGCTAGTCCAATTAAAAATTCTGAAACATTTATACTTACATACAAGACATTTTATATTTAACCTACAAAACTTATTCACGAAATATTAATTAAAATAAAGTACCTACTTACATATTATAATTATGTGCTAGTCCTCTTAAAAATTCTAAAACATCCCCGTTTGCATCAAAATTTCCCACAAGCCGTGAAATGCGATCATCTGCGTCTCTGTATTTTCTTAATTTCAATGGTGGGAGATTACCTGCCACAAGTTGCTCGAAATAGACATCTCGACCTTTCTGCACCTGACGCAGGCCATCTATAAATTTCCATATGGTTGGATGATCTGCTCCCAATTCCATCTTGAGTCTTCTATGGGCGGCCTCAGCGTGATTATTTGTCCGGTCTTCTCCATCCAGAGTTCTCTGGTAGAGGTTCCACATCCTTTGGGGAAATAAACTTGGTCTTCTGCCATTTCCTCTTCTGTTCATACGTCCAATATAGTAGTCTTCAAACCAGTCTACAAGTGGTTGGTGTTCAGCAGGTAGAGCTTCCGCTAGAACGGCAAAGGCATCATCTAAATGTTCGATAGGAACAAATGCTAATGCTGTCAACATTCTGCAATTTAAAGCGAATTGTGGATCAGCATTATACTCTCTCGTATATCCCATAGCAGCCACTTGTTTCTTCATATTTTGTGCCAAATGGAAAAAACATCCATTGATGTCGACGCCTGGAAAACAATCTTCCATTGCCTTAAATGCCGCCTGTTCGAAATCGCAATGGATTGCTCTGGGTTGCAAATTTGGTACAATTTGTCTGATCAATTCAAACATACGGGTATATGTGGATCTTGTTTTATTCGGCAGCATGGCATAAAATATTGGATGGACTCCATTATATTTTGTGGCCATAACTGTGTATACTTGTAAAAATAGAGATGGTGCTATAGCAAATGTACCGTCACCATACCACACATCTGAGGTCTGTAGATGTTGCAGCCACGATTCTCTCCCGAAAATCAAAATTCTTTGCAATCCTTCTCCATCATCTGCTAATAAAAAATTTTCTTCTACACCATCTTGTAACGTGTAAACACGATAAGACTCGGGAATTACTAACTCTTCAACAGTTGTCGGATTTGATGGGGCTGCATGAACTTCGTTACGTTTTCGTCTGATGAATTTTCTCATCGCGCCAGTGTTTGGGAGCCGACCATGACAAGCTTGACTTGTATTTCTCAGGCACTCATTGATTACCACTATTGTCCCTTCGTTTGTTTCTGTAGCACGCTTTTTCATTTTTGTAACAACTTGTGCTACTTCCACGTCCATCGCCGAGGAGTCGTGAGTGTGAACATTTACTTTCTTGATGACTTCACCATCTCTTGTATGTATTCTTGCTTTGCACGTTTGTTTCCTCTCACACCTCCAAAATTTTAGGGATTCATCGCTTTTACTAACAGCGTCAAAAACATACATGAAACCATCAGTGGTAAATTTCTCTCTTCCTCTGGTCGATAAAATTTTTCGTTCCATAGCTTAAAAATTCTTCGTCTGTATATCGTATAAATACTACTATGAAATATTATAAGACACTACATAAACTCTTAAACTGATCTCTGTTTATATAGCTGTACCCTCAATAATCCAACCAATCAAATCAATAATAGGTAGGTACCTACTTAAAATTTCCCTTAAGATTAAAAATCAACAAATTACTTGCATCTCTCGTTAATGACATTATAATGTAATTTTTGAAATCAACAACTAATTTAGTTTTCGAATATTTAAAATCAACAAATAACTTGCATCTCTCGTTAATGACATTATAATGTAATTTTTGAAATCAACAACTAATTGATACATGATAATGTCATTTGGAATTAACAGGTAATTTAGTTTTCGAGGAAATGTTAATAACATTATTATGTGATTTATAGAATTTTGTATTTAAATTTTCGAAGAAACTGCAATAAATATAGGGATAACTATTATTATACTAACTAATGGTAAATATTTTAAAAGCAGATTCCTTTCAAGAAAATATTGTATAATTTAATTTTTTTTAAAAATATACATTCTGCAAATATTTTTGCTTAAAAAAGATATTTTAACAATATTAAAATTCTCCGTCTATATACCATATAATGTATGTCTAATTAAAGTTGAAAAATGTCAGTTATCATCTAATTAGCTCTGGGACAATTAAGAGAACAGCAATTATTATTAATATGCATTAATAAAAAATCCAATATAGGTATTTGCAGAATAAAATATAACAAAATGTTTATAAAAGAAATATATTTAGTTTATTTTTCTACTTGACCATTAATGTTAAAATTGTGTGACCAATGAACTCCAATGTATTTAAATAACTATATTAAAAGATTTTTTTCCAAAAAATTGCCTGACCAATAAACCTCAATGTAGGTATTTAGTCAACTAAAATAAAATTTCTGACGCCGAAATGGCCGACGCCGAAACGGCCTACGCCGAAACGGCCTACGCCGAAACGGCTCTACGCCCAAACGGCCACGCCGAAATGGCCACGCCGAAACGGCGACGCCGAAACGTCCCATTCCGAGTAAATTATAGATTGCATATTGACGAAGGTATACCTGTAATACACATTGATTCCTCTATAATCCCTATAATATAAACTAAAATTTATGTGAAAAAATCCATGGTTAAAAATGGAGATCAAGTTATCTTTTCTATGACGTAAATTGACCGCAGATATCAAATCCCGTACATCGCAACACACAATTAAAACACTTGCAAAATAACCGAATTCCACTACTACAAACTTAATGATAAAAAAGTATTAAGAAAATTCTCACTCACCTTTCGCTTCCCCAAGATTACCACTTGAAGTTGCAAACAGTTTAGAGCAAAAAAATCGTTCGGGTTTTATTTTAAATAGTGTTATTGATAACCAGTTACAAACAATAATTAATTAGAAATTTCAGGGTCGTCGTTTCGAAAGGATTTGGGAAAGATTAGTGAGTAACAAAAATCTCGGAATCGCAATTTGGGGAAAACAATTTGCATTTGTGTAAGCAGTTAAAAGAATTTATCGATGCAGCAACTAGAAACTAGATAGTTACATACTTTATGAGACTATCAATGTAGATAAAAATACGCTTGTACGCCTCGGTCAAAAATAAATTATTATAGTAAGCTCATACACAAAATTTTTGTTGATTATTTTTAATATGTATATATATATATATATATATATATATATATATATATATATATATATATATAGTATATTAATGTGGGCAAAATATTACAATGAATGTTTTTTTTATTTAAACAAAAATGACCCTGCATCAACTACTAAGAGTTATTAGCAGGGGGTACAAACACAAATTACAAGTATTTAGTTTCTTAGAATGTATATATGTTAACTTAAATATGTTCTATTAAACACTGGAAAATTTAATGTTCTTCAAATATTCCAGCACTTTGTTGAACTGGCAGCTTAGTAGATCCTTCATGTTGGCGGCAGGTTATTTTTTCTTCTTTCTTGGGTGTATGTTTTATTAAGTGAATATGAGTTGGTATAGTATGTCCTAATCGCAGTCGAGTTATTATCACTTGTTCACAACGTTTGAGTGGGAGTGGTAACATCTTTTAATTTGTTGGATTTCTATGCTGTTATTTCTATGTTTTTTGTTGATAGTAGTATGGGTTCATTTTTTATTAGCATTATAATTTCATTTGATGGATACAATTGCTGTAAAGCTTTTAGTGTACTTAATTCTGCCTGGGGTAGGGTGAGGAACGGATGGATTGAGTAGCTCGGAAATCACTTTACTGCAGCCGGTCCCAAGGCCGGATAAAAGAGGAGGGTTGAGCGGAGGGTTAACTACCCACAATCGGGAAAAAAAACTAGTTATGAAAACTGCAACTTTGCCTCGAAAAGGATAGATAAACCCAAAAAACGGCAAATGCAATGTAAAAGGACTATGAATATTGGAACTTGGAATGTCCAGAATTGGTACAGAGCTAGAACGACGATGGAAATATAAAAATTAGTAAATCCACCATCTTCTTCAGCGGTAACAAAAACGGAAGACATGAATTTGGAACGAGCTTTGTAATTAGAGACAATCTTGTACAGAATAAACTAAATTTTAAACCGATAAATGAAAGGTTATCCTACATACGAATGAAGGAAGAACGATACAACATTTTGATTGTCTCAGCGCATGCACCAACGGAAGAGAAGGATGAAGATATCAAGGATGACTTCTACGATGCCCTAGAAAGAGAGACAGATACGATGCCCAAACATGATATGCGCATGCTCTGCGGGGACGTTAATGCTAAAATAGGCAAAGAGCCTATTTTAGCATTAACGTAATTACCCCACAATAGGTAAACACAGTCTACACAATATTTCCAACGACAATGGCTTAAGACTCAAAGCTGGGTCTCAAACGACCATATTACGCGAAACCAAATTGATAATATTATTGTAGATGCCCGTCATGGTAACAATATTATAGACGTAAGTATGAGATGAATAGACGGAGACACAGATCCTTACTTAGTCAAAGCAAAAGTCAAATCCAGGATATCTAGCCACAAATATAATAAAACAACAATAAACCCGCAATGAAACATAAACGAAATACACAATGCAGAGAAACAACAAAACTATAGAGAACAACTTGAACAAACCTTGAACTCTGAAAGAGAATACAATGATATAGAACAGCTATGGGAAGCGACTGCCGAAATAATAACCAAGACAGCGGACAAGATCTTTGGAAGGAGTAGGCAGAAGAGGGCAAAAACATGGTATGACGAGGTATATCGGAAACAGCTGGAAAAAAGGCAAACAATAAGGAAAACTTGGATACAACTGCAAACAGACCAAAGTAAAAAAGAATATGACGACTACTAAAAAGGAACAAGAAAAATAATACGCACAAAGAAAAGAAACTATGAACAACAAAAATATAAAGCTATGGAGAGAGACCGGCCGAAACCTGGCTCCAGAGAATTCTATAAAGGAATTTCCTCTGAGAAAAGAGGACATAAAACCAATTCGATCCATACACTGAGAGACAATCAAGGTAAAGAAGTAACTGAAGAATGGAAAAAGTATTTTAAGGACCTTCTAAACATCATACAGGAAGAACAACACGAAGAAGGGATCTATATCACAGCGGATATGCCCGTCAAAAATCCCTCCTTTAAAGAAACCCAAAAGGCCTTAAATAAGCTGAAAAATCACAAAGCGCCGGCTACGGATGGGATACCAGCAGAACTTCTGAAATATGGAGGAGACGCACTATATCGTCAAATCCACCATCTAATAACGCACATATAGTTAGAAGAAAAAATACCAGCACGATGAAAGGAAAACATAATAGTGACCTCCTACAAAAAAGGGAACAAAACAAAATGCGCGAATTATAGAGGAATCTCACTTCTAAACACGGCATATAAAACCCTCTCAAACATCATTCTTAGTAGACTAATCCCTTATGCTGAAAATGTCCTACACAAATATCAAGCCTGGTTTAGGGCAAACAAATCAACAATAGATCAACTATTCACGCTGAGACAACTTCTAGAAAACAGATGGGAGTATAACAGACCCATACACAATCTTTTCATAGACCTTCGGCAGGCATATGATAGCGTAGAAAGAAGCCAAGTATGGAATGCCATGGCGGAGTTTTCAATACCAAATAAACTCATTCGGATGACCAAAGTCTGTATGGAGGGTGGAATATCTAAAGTACGTGTAAATAATAAACTGTCTGGCAGCTTTGAAATTAACAGTGGACTTAAACAGGGTGATCCGTTATCTCCACTACTTTTTAACCTTGTATTAGAGAAAGCCATGAGGTCGGCCGAAATAAAAACAGAATTGCTATCGGTTTAAGGTCCCAAGCTGTTACTCGCATATGCAGATGACATAGATCTCGTTGGAGACTCCATCCTATCCACGCAAGCCATTTTCAACAAGATAAAAGGAGCAACAAATGAAGTAGGGCTGAAGATTAATGAACAGAAGACGAAATATATGTGTATAAATAGAACGACACGAAGAGACATAATAGGACAAAATGTGACGGTCAACACCTTCAATTTCGAAAGAGTACAACGTTTTAAGTATCTAGGGGCCGTAGTCACAGCTGACAATGATGTCACTGAAGAAATAAAAGACAGAATCAAGTCTGCAAACCGCTGTCAATTTTCACTGGATAAGCTCATAAAATCAAAAAATACGGATGCAAAACGTGGACCATTACCAAAGCCAACAAAGAAAAGCTCAGACGCTTTGAACGAAAAATACTTTTTTTATCTTTGAACGAAAAATACTAATTTTCGGACCTCACCATAACATTACCACAAACCAATATAAGATCAGAAGCAATATCGAATTAAAAGCACTCAGATCAGAAAATTAAATCACAGCGACTAAGATGGGCAGGCCACGTGCACAGACTGCATAACGAAAGACTTGTGTTGTGTTGAGATTCCCACAGGCAAAAGACCACTCGGACGTCCCAGAGTGCGATGGAGAGATAACATCCAAGCAGATCTCCGGAAAATAAACATTCCATTTGACCCTAGGTTGATGGAAGACCGAACAAATTGGAAAAAAGTTGTACAGTCAGCCAAGACCCACCCAGGGTTGTAGCGCTACGTGATGATGATGATTTTAGTGTACTTAATCAGTCCGATATTATAACATAATGAGGTGCAGATTTTCTTCTGCAAACTTTCAGTGCCTCTAAAATAGCCTTTGCTTCTCCAGTAAATATGCTACAACTCGGAGGGAGTCGTAGTTTAAAGTGGTCTGTTCCATGTATGTAAGCCGCTGCTGTCCTGATTGAGTTTTGGATGCGTCAGTGTAGATATGTTCAGAATTTGGATATAGGGATATTATTTCATGGTATGATTGATGTATTACTGTTGGGTTCGTGGATGTTTTGGGATAGCAAATGGATGTTTTTATACTTCCCTTTTATGTCATTTTGAATTTTGAAATCTAGATATACCTTTATGAACGTGATTTTTCAATTTACGGAAATTTACAATTTGTCAAATAAGTAAATAAACCAAAGTAGTCAGAAATAAAAGTGTTTTTACTGTATATAAGCATTTATAAGGGTTATGATCTAAAAAACTAAATAAAATTAAATTAAAATCGAAGAGCTTTGGGCCTCGTAATGGGTATTATTCATGATCAAAATGACTTCATACAAAATTTTAGCTTCCCAGAGCCCATGGGACCCCTTAAATCTAAAAAAGAAGATTTTTTTTTGTTTGCAATTTTGCTTTAAAAAAACTGAAAAAATTCATGAGATGTATCTTTCGAATACCAAATAGTCTGATTTTTTTCAGATTTTTATTTTGAAAATTGAGCTCAAGAAAAATCATTGAAATTTTCAATAATTTTTAGGTTATGTTAATAATTTTTGGCTGACTTTTAAATAGTAATTTTTTATGTATTTTGATCGTTCTTTTAAATGGCCAAGGCAAAATTTTTAATTTCTGAGCGGAAATCATCCAAAAATCCAAAAAACCGTTTTTTTGCTCATTTATTTACACATAACCTCAAAACTCAGTTGGTAATTCAACATTTTTCAACATTTCGATTATTGAATATTTCAATAATTTTTCCTGAGCTTAATTTTTAATATAAAAATACATCTTCATGAATTTTTTCAGATTTTTTAAAGCAAAATTGCGTCCAAAAAAAAATAAAGTAGAAAAAAACTTCTTTTTTAGATTTGAGGGATTCCATGGAATCTAGGAAGCTAAAAATAGACTAACGAAAATCGGAAGAAATACCTATAAATCGTGGAGTAAGACAAGGATGTGTGCTTTCCTTTTTGATATCTTTTAGATATCTATTTAAAAGAACTGTTTAAAGAGGCATTAGACGACGTAAATGAAGGCATATTTATT